AGAGTCTTTGCTATTCCTTTATAGGAAAGTTTATTATCTAGTTCACAGGCCATGCCCAGAATGAAAATTTATCATGTCAGAGAAGCTCCCAAATCGTTTAAGATACCGAAATCTCTGTCGACAGGTTAAAAGAGCATCAAGAAGCAAGTTTTCCACAATTTTTCGAACCAGTTAGGAAGATAGGTTCAAAGTTCTTGCCACATTCTTCAGTGTATATTGACAATCATGCTTCAGAAATGCTCCTCAGTGATGAAGCAGAAGTCCTAGGTAGTTAGTGTAGTGTTTCAGTGTGAGCTATGACTCATATAAGATGAGAAAAGTCAACAATAACTCATGCCAGTCTACTGACCGGTCCGGTCCGGTCTGACCGGTACCAGTCTAGAGAAAATCCTACCGGTTGCAACACTGTTTTAGAACTTAATTTTTTTGACTGAGTGTGTAGGCAGATACTTCATTGGCTATTTCTTGATTTGCGACTACATTTAAAAAACAGTCTTCTCAAACAGCATAATACTGGGTACCTACTCGTATGAAAAACTCTATGGATCTCAGTTAGTGCTGAAACAAATGCTTCTGACAACAAGAATAAAGAGAAAAGAATCGATACAATGAAACATGGCAATCATAATACAAATGATATTTCGACTACTATGTATATTTTTCAGAAATAGTTGAGATATCAAAGGAAAACTTGGAGTTCTACTTTCATAGTACGCAAACGTGTTTCGCCACACAGGATGTAAACGGTTATAAATAAATTCAGAAAAATTTCACTTACTTATTTAAAGTTATACTGGTCGCGATAATTATTACTGTATCGAATGAAAAACTCTGTTAATCAACTAAGAAAAATGTATTCATTTACTTGAATTAGTGCTGCTTACTGTAACCTTATTGAAGAAAAACAATATTCGAATAGACATAGAGAAAAATCTATTTACTTACTTTGACTGACATTGTTTATTGTTGCTGTTTCTAATGAGATGACTATTATTGGTACGTCAACTATAGACACTAAAGCGGCAAACATGAGTAGACCTAATAATATTCAATATCGTTATTTTCGAGAGGCATGTGTTGGATCAATGATTGTTATAAATGGCAGAAGAACTATTCTACTGTTGTTTTCTCGTTTTGATGAAGAAATAGTAGGAAAATTATCAATGAATTTGTGTTCTACTGTAAACAGTATTTATTTTATTTTATTGAAATGAAAATCTGTGAAAAAAAGATCAAGCTGTTTTTGTACTTCAATATTATGAAGTAGTTAATAGACAAAAAATATGATTATGAAAATATTGTTGGTTTTTCTATTAACCCTTTGAGGGCGAAGGTCATATATATACGGTCTCAAAGTTTGAATAAGTTAGTAAAGGGATTATCCACTAGTTCTATCTATACTATATAACGATAACTTGATGAAGTACACTAGTGACATCATGTAAGCGCTAGGGTGGTATCTTTGGTAAGGCACCATCATTGATTCATATGAAACCAATCATTTTATTTAGCATTCGAGAGTGTTCTGTTGAAGTAGTATAAATAGGAGATACCATTGTTTCATAAATAATATACGACAGTTCGATAAGGTCACACAAAAGAAGACACGATAGCAACAATTGTTGTTACTAACCAACTTTATACGTTATTATCACTCGTTTTCATATTTTGAAACTTTTCTGAATTATTATGGTATTTAGTAGAACAACTGATTCAGATATTGCTGAAATTTTTTCGAATTCTGAATTAGATGATGAATTAGATACTGGTTCTGTTTGCGACTGTGATAACGAATTGGATAGTGGAGATGAAGAACAGGATGCAGAAAGATCTTTCGGAGAGCGAAAATGGAGAGTAGAATGGTTTGAGCCAAAAACGTTTACATTTGACTCAAGTAAATCTGGTATCAATTCATATTTACCAAAAAATGATGAAAATAGATCACTAGATTATTTTCATTTGATATTTGATTACAGTCCGCTATAAAAATTTGTCGAGGAAACAAACAAATAGCATTTCTATACAGTACAACACGAAAATCTGCCTGAGCAATATCAAGAAACAATTAGTGCTGCTGTACCCCGAAATATATACATTTTTTGCACTTTATATGCTAATGGCTCATATAAAGAAAAATCGAATGAAAGACTACTGGTCTACTGACTCTTTGATTTCCACGCCTATGTTTGCAGATATCATGAGTAGGGACAGATTTCTTTTACTTCTACGATTTCTATACTTCAATGACAACGAATATCAATCATCTGATGATAAACTATATAAAATCAAGCCAGTAATTGTTTATTTATGTGAAAAATTCAGAAAAATCTTAGTTCCTTATCAATATTTATGTATTGATAATGGCTTGTTGTTGTATAACGGTCGACTTAGATTCAAACAATACCTCCCATTTAATAGGAATAGATTTGGGATAAAAATATACGTTATATGTGATGTTTGCACTGGAATAATTTCAGACTTCATTATTTATACAAGAGCCACTACTGACATAATAAGATTTGTAGATGTCAGAAGTTCTGGTTCAATTGTTATGACTTTGATACAACCTTACTTAGATAAAGGTCATAATTTATTTCTAGATAGTTGGTTCACAAGTCGTGCTCTTTTTTTGAAAAATTCCATGCAAGGTCAATCGATGCATGCGGTTTTGTGAGGGTAAATAGAGTTGGTTTATCTAGGTTTAAAGATAAAATTCGAAGGGATCAACAAGTTTATAAAAGTACAAATCATATGCTGGCACTGGAATGGTATGATAAAAAAGAAGTTACAATGCTATCCACTATCCATCAACTTCATATGGATTTTACTGGAAAAAATAATCCAAAAACTAAACAACCATTTCAAAAACCAATTTCAATAATTGACTATAATCCTAAAAGAGGAGCATTTGACAAGGTTTACATGCAAACTAGTTTTTGCTGAATGTATAAGAAAATCTGTCTGATGGTATAGAAAACTATTTTTTCATATACTTGATTTAGTAGTTCTCATCTCTTATTTACTTTACAAAATGGAAACTGAAAAGAGATCTGAACTAGTAGACTTTCGTTTGCAACTTATACGTGAAATTTTATAAAGCTATTATACTCCAAAATCCACAACTGGATGCTCTGCACGCGGCTGTAAACCAACTCGACTCAGTGCTAGACGTTTTCCTTCTCTTATACCGCAAACAACGGAAAGAAAAAGTCCTCAGAAAAAATGTGTTGTATGTGCACATACTAATAGAAGATCTGAAAAGAGAACAGATTCACATTATAAGTATAAAAATTGTGATATTGATTTTTGCGTAGTTGATTGCTTTGAGGAATTGCATACCTTGGAGACCTTTTAATTTTTTTCTTCCCACGTCTTTTTTCTTTTCAAAATAAACCACACTAAAAAAAATCCGTAGAATAATAAACCCTTTTCATAGAGTTTATTATTCTACGAATTTTTTTTACAGTGCAGCTGCATCTTTTAAATGAGATCTAAGGGCAATAATTATGACCATGAATAACTTCCAAAATACAATTCATTTTGGCAACATAATTTCATTTTTTATGAAAAAAATAAGTCCGCCTACACAGGGTTAATAATAAAAAAATCCTTCGTGGCTAGTTGATTTGAAACATTTAATCTAATATCATCATTCTTGACAGGTACATCAATAATGATGGTAGGATTTTGATTCACAGACTATGAAGAAGTAGCAATTGAAACTACTTTATTATGATCAAATTCGAAGTCGTTTTTGTTATTGGGATTATAGAAATTATTTGCTATTGATTGTTGTGCGATATTTTTATCTATATCACCGTTAGATCTCTTGTTCAAAACGAAATATGTACTAATATCTTTCTAATTTTTTATTCATTATTTTTTATCAATGCTTGCTGAAAAAATATTACTTTAATACTTTTATATGTGAATCATAAAGGAGAAGAAAATACTTGTAATTATATACATTATACACATGCTCTTCATTAATTATAACAAATAAAGTGTCGACACAGACACAAAGTTCACATTGATTATTTGATATAAATGTCGGCACCAGTACACACTTGTAAATTGATAGTGCAACTTTTTCTTAAGAGTGGAGAGGATTAATTCTTTCAGTCTTTCCGCTGTGACTGTTCATGCTTGAGAAGTAAGCGTTCACTCTAAGTTAAAATGTGTCGACTTTTTCCGTCGTGAATAATAGTGTCGTGGGTATCAGCAAGAAAATGTGTCGCACTTTAATGTGTCACATTTTTAACCGTTCTATACATATATGACGACTGTTCATTCACCATATTGTTTCGCGTGTTTATCTATATATAATGGATCTGAACCATCACATGCGAATCACTAGTTTTCATGCACCAGTTTATATAATATATTTCTCGTAAGTATTTCGAGAAATGATGACCTCGCATTAAGAGAGGTCTACGTGGCAGTAGTCTGACCAAGATCTGACTAGCCTTACATGGCTGGATCTCAAAGTCTGGCTGTTTTACAGTATTGCATCAAACACTGATGTTAATTGTACTAATTAAATATTGATGGATATAATGCATGAAAGAAAAAAATATATAGATACGGTGAAACCTAGACTCGAACCGTGATTTCAGAATGTGTCGGATGTGTCGTACGCTTGCTGGAGAAAATGTGTCGCAACGAGCACCTCGTGTCGTGCTTGAATGTGTCGTGACATGTGTTGTAAATCATGACACATCCGACACATTTTAACTTAGAGTGTTCTTTTTTGGTATTACGTGAAAGTGACTGTTTTTTCCACTTGAATGGTTTTTTTACTTTTTCATGATATATTTTTTTTATTGCGATGAAGCAGAAGAAAAGAAAAACAAGACCAAAAGTATTTTATCACACTGATACTTTTTAAAACAAAACAGATACGAAAGCCACGTTTCATCAAACAACACAAGCACATAGTTGACAACAACGCGGCAATATATCGGATAAACTAGAATATTTTATCTTTATCAGCAACAAATATGAACAGGCATTTGCATGTACATAGAAGGTCCTCTCAAAAAGGTACCGTATAATTTTACTTATTTTATCACGAGCTTCCACAGACATAAGAGAATAAAATAAAGTGAATACTAGCCGCTGTGTCGTTCAAAGACTACTTAATTTTAAAAAGAATGTTATGGCGAACTATGTTTGCACTTACCTGAACATTAGGAGATTCAATGGATTCGAGAGATTCCTTTTTAACAGACTCAACAGAGTTTCTCATTATTAGAAACTTTAAAATACTATTTTCAATAAAGATGTGAAGCCAAGGAACAACTTCCTAATAAATGTCTATATCATTTTTGATACCGGACGTTACCGGAAAAAAAAGTTGTAAAAATTTTGAATCAGAGCACATGCATTAGATCGAGAACCACAAAAATGAGATATTACTGGTTTAATCTAGATCAACAAGTTCACTAAGGACAAGAAGAACAATTAGTTGTTGATAATTATTCGGTGTATTGCCCTTCAGAATTAAGTGATGTTTATGACAATACGAGTTCTACTTGTTGGAATGGAAATTTTATCTATTTTTTGATGAGAGAGATGAAAAATCTACATACGCTTTCTTCATATAACTTTTAGTGAGTCACATATAAAGATATGTTGTGTATAATATGTGATTTTCCTATTCATCAGAAAGTGTGATTCTAACAGAAATAGCTCAATCAATCAATCGCAAAGAAATGTTCAATTTTAGAAAAACTATGGCTCAACATGCAGTATCATCCGAACGGATTTATCAAGAGGCCCGGTGAACTCGAAGACGAGCTGAGTGATCCACCAGTGTCTGTCGATGAAAACATATTGGATCGTGTACAGGGTTCAATGACAGGCATCGCTTTGGGCGACGCTCTTGGCGCTCATGTTGAGTTTAAGCCTCACTCTTTTTTAGCTGCACATCCGGTGAAAGATCTCGTGGGTGGTGGCACTTGGGGACTCAACAAAGGAGAGGTAACTTCCCTTCATAAGTATTTCTTTACTTCTGACTCAATTAGTGTTCATCAAAAGTCACATCATAGCTAAAACAAAAACTACCTTTGACTTTAAGTTTCGACATTGATTATACCTTAATTACTTATCAGATATTGACCTTTCACCTATAAGATTCGTAGATAAGTTACATGCGTTCGTGCATACATAAGAAGTAAACATCTCTGTATAGTGAGCAATTTTAAATATTCTCTCAGATGTTCATATTAGATAGTTTTTACTGGAGTCATATAAATTGATTCCAGTGACTTGTTTGGCTTTCTATGAAGATTATTACTTAATTGTATTCTATTATTATCATGGTATTGGCATGAAAAAAAAATTGGCAAGCCTTTACAGGCAGGCCAGACAGACAGAAGAAAATGACAAGCAAGCAGGACACACCGAAGAAATAGAATGACAGGCGCAGATAGGCTGGAATGGATGTAAGCCTATTTGTGATATACCAGAGCTCCAAAAAAGGTCGATCTATTGTGGACTTTGATAACAATTTCTGTTAGGTTTTTGGTTCACTCAATATCGTACCGAGATAAAATAAAAACTTAATTGACGTGTAGTTCTCGGTTATCTTACTTAACGACTTAGATCAAATAGAATGAAATTATACAACCATTCGGCTTAATTTTGTACTCTGAAGAATATAGATTTTGAACAGCTCAAATTCAAAAATTCACATGAACTATTTGAAACAACTGTACGAATATATTACTTTCTATCTAAAGAACTTTCAAACATATCCTCAATTAGCAACTATTAACGAGCTGTTATAGCCTTAAATGGGTTTCTAATTGAGGATAGAAAAGTTTTGCAAAGGTTTCTAGTTTTTATTCCTTTCAGAGAAAAGCGATAATATCTGTTCCGTGAACAGTCAGTTAATGGAGTTGATTTTCTAAGCTTTCTCAGTTTGTTCTTCGAGAAATTAGCAGCATAGAGAGCAATAATTTGATAAGCATACTTAATAAATGAGTATTTTGATATTGAGGGACAACAGCAAAGTTCATCAGCATATATGAATACAAAGTCCTATAAATCATTTGAGTGATGCAGTCTACTATTTCCATGTCGTTTAAAGATTGCTCATACATTATATATTCTTTTATTTCAATAAACTATGTTGAAAGGAATGTTTCTATTTCATATTAATTAATTCAAAGAGAATATAAAATGCTGCAGAAAACATATGCGAGTATAATTCTTCTAAGAACCTGCACGACATATAGAATAATTTGATCAAATATACTTTGATGTATAAGGACATTTTGTTGATAAGCACACAAAAGTAAAACATTTTTCGATAATTATTTATGTATTGTACTTGATTGTTGCAATTAGCGTGTTAGAAATAAATAATTCTAAAATGCTGAAAGGCTTCTTCTAGCTTTTGTATCTTTTTAAAGTCCTACAACCAACTGCTTCTCTTATGATTTTAGTTCACTGATGACACGTCGATGACTCTATGTCTAGGAAATTCATTGGTGGCACATCAAGGATTTTTTCCTTATGATCAACTCGTTCGATACAAATGGTGGTTTCGAAACGGTTATATGTCCGCTATAGGCAGTTGTTTCGATATTGGTGCATCCACCCAGCAATCGTTGATGGAATTCGAACGTCGTCAAATCGAATTCTCTAGAAAATACAATATTTCATATGAACGAATGGACTATCTAACACCTTCTGAAGTTTCGAATAAGTTCAATGTAATTTGTGGTGGAAAGAATGTAGCTGGTAACGGATCTTTAATGCGACTTGCTCCTGTTCCGTTGTTCTTCTACCGTCATCCAAAGAAAGCCGTTGAGTATTGTGGACTCAGTGCAATAATTACTCATGATGATCAGCGTGCTTATGATGCCTGTCGTTACTACGGCGCTCTAATTGTGGCTGCTCTCCAAGGTGTGGACAAAAATGAGCTACTCGACAAGAATTTTTATTTCAAGCATAAAGATTGGTTCAATAATAAGCCACTCCATTCAGACATTATGAATATTGCACAAGGATCTTATCAAAAGGAGGGTGGATATAGTGATGGCATTCGAGGCACAGGATATGTTGTCAATGCTCTGGAAGCCGCTTTATGGGCCTTTTTCTATGATAGAAATTCGTTTGAATATGGAGCTCTTGCTGCAGTCAATCTCGGCGATGATACCGACACAACAGCGGCGATTTATGGCCAATTAGCTGGCGCATACTATGGTTATGATAAACTACCTAAGAAATGGTTGGATTTTCTATATGGTAAAACTTTTATACAGTGTCTGAGCAAATGGATTGTGTACGAAGGGGAAAGATGGCAGCCGAATAGATTGCCCGATTTGGTTTCGACTATTTCTGTCCGTCAACAACGATTTAATAGTGCCACCAACTTGTTTAATAATCAAAATACAAATTCCAACATGTATACAACCGCTTCTCAATTTAATTCACAGCGAATTCCTGAAAAATTTCCTGAAACAAGTCAGGAATCCGTATTACAACTCGGTCATCAAGTAATGGTTGAAACAGAACCAAATAAGTACAGAAAACCGAGTCTGAAACCAATGGCATCTAGTAATTTTACTGCAGCTCTTACACCACAGTATGTTTCTAATAGCAACAATTATTCTCATTTGCAACCTACTTCAAATAACTCTATGTATTCCATGCATCCAAAACCACTTCAAGCTATGGCTTCTATGCCTATGTTTAAAAGTAAGAGTCTCGTTTTCGACTGACAAGGAGATATTGCCAAGTATCGGAGCTCTTTTGAGCTGGGACTTTCCATTTCCTGTAGATCTTGATGAATTATATTTATCATAAAAAGAGTTCATGCTCATAGCTTGTTTCTAAGGATATCGAAGATTTTTACTGTTACAGTCATTTGAATTATCTTATCAAAAAAATCACTCTCTCAATTAATATAAATTGAAACAAGCTGCGATTGTCCTCATGTGTAGTTGTAATGATGTGGTAGATAATGTAACTGTATGAGTGTAAGAGAACTTAGAAAAACAGAGCTATTGGTTTTAGAAAATGTTAACATTGTTTTAAATATCGGTTATTATGCTATTTCTTAGAATTACAAGATAAATAGTCGAAAATTTTAAAACATTGAGTACGTATGTCGCAATATACATTTGAATGCTTGATAATTACGGTTCGCTACGATAATATATTTGTTTTTTCTTAGGTTCTGATATCTGTCATAGTGCTTATATTGTGAGTTAAATATAAAGTGATCTCTTTTGTATACACATTATGAAAAGTATCGCATAAAAACAAATGAATCAGATGAAGATCAATGAATAGATCGGATTGATACTAAGTGTTTAAGGGAGTGAAAAGTAGTATGTTAGTATGCTTTCTTATTTAATATTCTTTTTGCTCGGTTCTAACAAAACTGATTAATGCATTGGTAGTGTCTTCTCTTCTCTCAGAGAATTTTTCTCAATCAGTTGCATTTGCAAATGTTAATCTTTTAGCTTCAAAAATACGCAAACAACAGGTTGCCGACCATATGACTGAAGTCTTAAATTCAATTATCAATTGTCATTGATTTTCCATAGAAAATGAAACTTCACTTAATCACATTTCAAATTAAATAACGGAAGATAATGAAGATGAATACGTTAAACCTGACGATTCTGAATTAGATTCAAACTTCAATAATACAGGTGATGACGAAATCAGTGGTCTCCTTCAAAATATTTAGAGTAACGTTAATATTTTCTAAAACTGATAGCTCTGCTTTTTTAAGCTCATTGTCGCTCATACAGTCACATTATCGACCATATGAATATAACTATATATGAGGAAAGTCGGAGCTTGTTTCAATTTATATTAACTGAGAGAGTGATTTTTTTTTTTGATAAGATAACTCATATGATTGTAACAGTAAAAACCTTCGATATCCTCAGAAACAAGCTATCGGCACGAACTCTTCTTATGGTAGATATAATTCATTAAGGTCTACAAAATACGCAAAATCTCAGCTCAGAAGTGGTCCGATACTTGGCGATGTTTTCTTGTAAGTTGTATTAAAAGGAGTTCATAGTGTAAAAAAAATGTTGACACGAATAACTTTTTAAGTAATTTTTCTGAAGACCTATATTGAGAACTATTTTGTATTACTTTTTCTTTTATAGCCACGCACTTTTACAACAATGTGGAAACATGTGAAGATGTTTGTTTTTGGATTGCATCTCTTGGTGAGGAATATGTGCGTTATGCGCCTAACTTCAAAAAAAATAACGTTGATGGATTTCAACTTCTCCATGTTGTTGATCAGAACAAGCTCATTCAATATGGTGTTCACAATACAATGCATCAACGACGAATCCTTGATGGTATTAAAGATTTGAAAAAATATTCAGCCTTACCTTCAACACAGAAAAATGTGGAACGCTTATGATTGCTCCAGTATGTAAGACATTGATACTTACTCTGTGATTCTATTTATCTCAATTATTTTATCAACATGCATTTTTGTATTATAATAAAAATTGCCAAAATACTTTTAAAAAGTTGAATACTTTAACCTATATATTCCTTGTTTAAGGTGCCAAATTACGTACAACATATTTCTCTTATTGTTTATCACCCTGTAAATAATCAAATAACTCCTAAGTTTTTTTTTGTGCAAAAAACACATACATACAACATGTTATTAGAATTTGACATTCAAATATATTCTATATTAGGGTCGTGATCAAAATTCGTAAAATTTGCGATATGTAAGTGTTGAAGTCTACATTCCTATGACAATATCTATGCAACCAGTAACTTGATGCATTAATCACATAATATTTTAGTGTCTATATAATCTTCATTTCACAAACGAACGAATAAATGAATGTATAGTGTTGATGAAATCTTTTTTACGATATTTTCTTTTTTCTTAGGTCTTTAAAACATTTACATTTATGTTGAGAAATAATTTCATTGATGTTTTCTTTTTGTAATTCAAAGTAATGGACATTTCTATTTATTTTCTTACACATGGAAATATAGTATAATTGGCTAAAGTATACGATGACATGCTAATTTATAATAGCGAAAACTACTCTCTAATACATTCACAGACATGTTTATTTCTCCAAATATATTTTACTTTCTTGCTTTCTCTGCATTGCAAAGTTATTTTGTCTACAAAATACATATGGCAAAATTGAGATATATAATATGTATATGAATACTTCTTGTATACTAGAAAATAATAGCAGACTGCATTAGTTTGTCTAACTATACAACGTGACGGAATCTAATCTTGCGATCATGATTGTGTTACTTGTAAGTGATAAATAAAACTCATTAGAAAACTACGAGAAGTCTTATTTAATGCAAACCTAAATATTGAATAGATTTTACTATATGAAAATAAAAAAATTATCTGAAAAAAGAAATAAAAAAAAAAAATAATTAATAATGTATTTTCAGACTTTTGTTTATAAAATCTAACGATTTCTTTTTACCAAAAAATTCATAAAATATTTTTAAAAAAAGGCATGAAAAAGAAAATAAAACAAAATTAAAGGATAAAGGAAAAGTCTTTTGTACATTTTTTAGATATGTTAATAATAGCATCTTAAACTTTTTGCATATTTATTATTATGAATTATACTTCTTACACTGTTCTACTACGTGAAATACGTTTGTGATGTATTACAATCATAGTATGCTTGAGTAAATGTATTAGATGAATTAAGTAATACTTGACAAAATGTTCTGGTACTTCGATAAGAAGATTGTGTGGTACTCGAAGTATTTGTTCATCATACTTGATTAGGTGTATATAATGCATTTTTTTGAAGATTATTACGTTCTGTAAGTGAAAACTTTGAATTGACTACACCTAAGCATATCACTGTTTGTCCATTAAACACTTGATTGAGTCATATCGTTGAGCTGCATGTGAATACGACAATACATGATATCAAATATGGCGCTGGTACAATATATACACAGCGAAAATATGACTACATAAGGTCATCGTATATTAGCCGTAAACAGGCCATATACGACATGGCATGAATATGGTCGTAAAACACTGACCTGTTTTACGACAAAATACAGTACGCCTACAGCTATAAGGATGCAATATTCGCACTATATACGATCCCTATATATATATATATAGTTGATTTAACTTTATCATATTTAGTTAGTAAATATATAAGATGTGAAAATTTAGCAACAGATAAAGATCCAAGTTATTTACCAATCGATGATCAAATTTTAATTTGTCAATCACAATCAATATCTTCTTATGAAGCTGATCAATTTAAAATCACATTAATTAATGGTAAATTTTTATATATTTTGTCAACTTATTTTTTGACTCTTTTTTTTCTATAGATTCTAGTTCTAAAATAATACTTCTTAATGATTAGGATCGTAGTATTCAAGTTATAACATGATCAAATGATAGTCAATCACTTTATCTTGAATTAGTTGAAGAAGTAAGCCATATTATTTATAAATTATCTAATACCTAATCCAACAATTATTTGTCTTTTAAATGATGGTGCATCAAGTAATATTAATATTCATTCAATAAATAATAATATATTTTTATTTATTCATGAAAATATTCTTCAACCATCTAATATTTATTTATATTTATCATCAATATCAATTCAATCAATAACAAATCATAATAAAAATTTATTATCTAAAATTCGAATGAGTTCTTCATTTGAAAAATTTTTATTTATTGATGCAGATAATGAAATAGTATGGGAATGGCATATCCCATCTACAAATGGAACAAATAAAAAAGTTCCATTTGCTTTTTCTCTTTTTACTCATAATAGTCCACAAAATAATTGGTATGATTCATAGAGTTATCAATGGAATTTTCAATTATTTTCTGATATTGATGAAATCGAGCTGTTGCATTAGGTGCTAGTTATAGTGATCATATGATTAAGTGGACAGCTGGACATACAAATATGAATCAACGTTTTAAAGCATTTGTTAATCATCATGTATTATTTGATATGAGACATATGGCTTATTCAACAGATGAATTATGGTTTATTGAATATGATACGGGTAGCTTTACTCAACATGACAATCTTCAAGCATTTGAAACATATAATCCAATTAATTATGTTACTAATTGGGCTCAATCACTGTTAGTTATTCATGAAACTTACGATTATCGTATACTAGACACTCAACATACTATGGTCTTTTGATCTCAAATTCAGGTTGAGGTTTTGATTATTTTCAGTTTTGACGTTTTTTTGTTCTTTTCTATTGTTTTTTATATGCAATAAAAAGTATTTATTATGTATTATGTCTATGATCTTATCGAGGCCACGACCTGCTACAATTAACCCTATTTTAAAAGGCGATAACTATTAACAAATAAAAGTCATGATTCGTTTTATACATTCATGATACTTGTCTTATCTTGACCTTTTCATATCACTGTGATGTATTTCTTATATTTTTCTTGTTTGAAAATTTACTTATACATAGTAGTTATCGTTTGCCAATAGAGGTTTAACGCGTTTGACCTGATTCGATTTTCTTAGAAAGTAGCTTTAACAGATTCATTTGCGCTCATTAGTCTTTTTAATATGTGCTGATAATTGTGTTTCTTTTTCTAGTTTGTATAATTACACAGACAGGTCTGTTTTACGTCGAACTGAATTAATCACTCAAGTTTATTTTTCTCTTTCTTTTATATATTGCGCAGTGGGAATAAAATAACGAAACGAACCTTCGATTTCGCTGATCACATGCTTGAAGAAAAGGAAGGATCTGCACGCATCGTCCGAAGATGCTGTGGTAGACACTATGAGAAAAACAGGGAACAACAATGAAGAGAAGAGAGTCATGTGACAGCAAAGAAAATAAAAGCCTTCTGTTCTGACCATGACAAATTTTTTGTCCTGATTGTTTTAATGAGAAGTATCAGGTTATGCAATAAATGGTTCAAAAAATAGCGAAGGCAGAGCAGATAACACATTATGTGTAACCTCCTGCTTAAGAAAAAAAAGGAAAAGAAAGTGTTTTTCTATTAAGTTTCTTGTTAAAATATAGTAGGTTCCATCGAGTTGAATGTGTTAATTAATTGTTCTTATTTTCATAGTTATAAAAGAAGTGGAGATTGATTTACAAACTGACTATTCATGAATGATGATGCTGAGTATGACGATTATTAGGTGAAATAGTCAAAAAAAGAAGTATACTTATTCATAGATGCACGAGTAGCTTATTAACGATAATCCTGTGTCAAAAGAATCTATAAATCCTATTAAGAATGCAAAGAATTATGAAGAAATCGACAAAAAGAAACAAGATAACAATGAAAATGTTGATATCCATATAGAAAAAGACGATAATATTGAATAACTCTTATTAAACGCAAATATTGGAAACAGCACTGATAGAATTGTCAACTAGAGTACTTCATAGATAGTAATGACATTACTGTACTGAAAAAGACCGTTTTCATCTATGCGAAATATATAAATTTGAAAAGTTTATGTCACACTTTTTTACACATGTATTTTTTTTTTCAATCTTTTCATAAATCCAGTTCCATGATCTCCTAGTAATATTATATGGACGTGCTATTTCAAGTAGATTACTCTTCTTTTTTTTGAAATGAAAATCATTGGCTACTCAATACATTCAATTCATTAATTTGGTATTAAGATGTTCTTGACTGGAAGAATCAATGAACAAAATGAAGATATTTTTTTATGATATATTGTTTTCGTTTTATCGCTTTGAAAAAACCGATCTTTTCGTTTATAGATTATCTTTTCATTAATTCATAATATTTCATTTAAAGAAATAAAGTTTGGAAAAGAAAATGTCAGATGAATTAAGATGAAATACATGCGTCATTTTCGTTTTTATTTAAGTAAAAATCTTATAGAAATATTTTTCGAAACACAATATTCAATGTACATCTATAGTAGATTTTGAATAGCTATTCAGACAAAAGAAAATAATATAAAATTTTGTCAGCATGATTTACTTCGAGGTAAATTATTGCAAATTATACCTTTTTTTTATATAATGTCGTTGAAAACATGTTTATGTGCATACCTTTCTTTAGTTGATAAATGACATCGATAATCATGTTATTTACCATGTGCACCCTTTTCTTTTTCTGTTGATATATTTTTTTTTTCATGATTTATGTATGATACTCTATAATATTTCTAATCAAATACTTCATTGTTATAAATCTTTGGACTGTTCTAGGATAAAAATAATTCTTTTTATAGAGCTAAATTGTTTTAAAATAAATTATTAAAAAATAAAGTTTAATTTTAACAGAATGTTTTTTAATGCAAATTTAATGAACACGTTACATGAAAATGTATTTCTCCAAAAAAAATGACAAATATATAAAAATACACTCTTTTTTTCTTTATAAATGATCAAAATTCATCTTTCCATGGAAGTTGTTCTAATTCAATTTCATAAGGTACTTGATCTTGATTGATACTGGCTACTATAAATAAAGTACCGGGCAATATTAGTACTTCTTCTTCATTTTGAAATTCTGATATTTCTTCAATACTCAATGCAGATCTTCGATCGGCTATTGTAAAAATAATAACCACAGGTAATCTTTCAGGTCTTGGATGTGATGGACAAGCAAAGCCTTTGGCAATTTTCCATGATTTTGATGTTGATTGAAATGATTTATTTGATAATGCAGTACCAATTTCATATTGTGCATAATCAGATCGAGTTATTTCCATTCCACGATATGTTTGTCCCGAAAAACGAAAACGATCAAATGCTGGATTTTTCGCAATAATACCTGTATAATAACCAGTCCATTTTCCACGTAATTTTTCAAATACTTTTCGACTACTTCCAGTAGCCATTTCACGATTAAGTTGTTTATAAAATGAACTTTCAACCGTATAAGCTTTAAGTAAATGTAATGGATTTTTTTCTTCTAATGCATCTTTAAAATAATTTTCTACAACTTCAGTTGCTGCGCTTCGGTCTTCGTCTAAAACGTGTGCTTTTTGAATTTTTTTAACTGTTTTTTTAATGCCACGATCTTTAATACATCCCCAATGAAAAGCACGCGAAAATGATTCAGCATTATCGTTCGCGAATTGCCATTCAGGTTGTTGAGCTGGACTAGTACTAAAGCGTTGTTGTGATGCTTCTGCCGAACGAGCAAAAAGTCTTGCAACTTCTCCTGTTCGTGCTGCATCTAAAGGTGAACGACCATCTCGATCTTGTACACGACGGCATGCTCCTTTTGTAAGAAGAAGGCGAACAATATTTTTATAACCACGAGAAGAAGCAGCATGAAGACAAGTATTTCCATCTGGTTCAACATGATTGAGAGCTTTCAATGAAGTAACTGGTAATAACCGTTCGACTACAGCTATATCACCTTTACAACATGCTACATACAAATCGCTGAAATTTGCTGCTGCCATCATTTTGTACGTTCTGCCTGAAATTTTTTTATTCTGACTGCGTATTTGAATATATATGCTCTCTCAAAATTCATTTTGAGTGTTTTTTTTATTGACTCAATACACGGTTATTTTTTTTCCCTTTACGTCAGCATACATGTTTCGTTGCCTTTCTTTACGATTTTATTACGGTTACTTTTTTTCTGAATTCTGATGTATAATTTATACATCTTTTTATGCTTTGAGTCAGACAAATGGCAAAATATTAGTAATTTCATATAAAAAATAGTCTTATTTCACTGTGACCTATTACGATGTTTATTTGTTATTATTCTTGCAAACAATTCATCTTATTTTGATGAAAAATAAATTTATTTCGTCGTTATTAAGTTCAAACTGATAAGTTAACTTATCTTAAATATAAAACTATAGAATTTCATTCATCATTCAAAGATTTTATTGTTTTACTAGTATGAAAAAATGCTACCAAATATAATTGTTGTTTCATATATAGATATGTTTGTTTTTTTCAAAAACATCAAGAGAATCAATAGTAAAAGAATAAAATGCAAGAGAACCCATGTCGCCACGTTTTTAACAATTGCGTGACAATTGCGCGTAATTGCGTCGCAGTTCGATCGCAATCGAACATATGAGAATTGTTAATTTTCTTGAAGCAAACACAAACTCTACGAAAAATGAAAAACAAGGGGCATTTTGTCTGCTTCCGAGAGTCTCTCGCATAACATAATCGTTAACGAAAAATGTACCTAGAAGTGAAGATAAGATCTACGCAAAATGAAAAACATTATGCATACCTCACTATATTATTTTAACTAAACTAACAATCTAACCGTCTGAATCATTGAATACATTTCAATAGATATCGTACTTGTACAGAATGTGAATCGATTCCTTATCATCATCGGTTGGTTGAGGTTGTTGAGAGAATGACTCACACGCGTCATTGTCATAACATAACGTAACACCTGATAAAAAGAAAACTCTAGAACTATCTTTATATAAGTACAACTTCAATTTATAAATGGGTGCGTATATTGATTCTTATCGTCAGTCGAGAAGTGAAACTACAGCCGACACGGTATTTCAATTTGTTTATTATTCTATATTTCTTCTGTTTTTCTTCATACGAAAAATTTTTTGATTGAATTCAACTAATACTTGTACAATAATGATCTCTCCATCAGAAATCTTTGTTTTTTTACATGGATTTTCTCAAGACGGTGGTAGTATAGGTGGTGGTGGTCAAATAGCAAAATATGTTGCATCGTTTTTTCATGTTCCTATTGAACAACCAAATTTGAATCAACCATCATTTAGTGAATTTTCTGTTTCAAATGCAATTAAAGTTATTGATAAATTATATGATGATAAACAAAAACAAAATCAAATACAAAATGAACCAATTAAAATGAATCTCATCGGTGCAAGCATGGGTAAATAATCAAAATTTAAATTGAATCAAAATCAATATAATTTTGTTTTAGGTGGTTATATTGCTGCACGTTATGCTGAACTACATCCTGATCGTGTAAAAAAATTATTTCTTCTATGTCCAGCATTTGGTCTAGCTGCACGTTGGCGTGAATTTTTATCTCATGATGATTTATCGAATTGGAAATCATCTGGATCATATTCATATAATGGTCATCAATTACACTATGTTTTCTTTGATGATATAACACAACATCATTCATTATATCCACAAGTATCATGTCCAACATCAATTGTACATGGAACACTTGATCGTCTTGTACCAATTG